CCCAGTGGGGGAGGATGTAATGTCCCACATCGGTTGGAGAGGGGAACGAAGCATGCCTTATAAGGGTGTGAATACCTCTTCTAGTGTGAGGCCTTTTGTGGGGTGTCCCAAGAAACAGAACCGTGAGCTCGACGGTGCTTGTGCGCGGGGCAAAGCGGACAATATCATGCTACAGGGTTTGGGGCTGTTACATTTGGTATCAGAGCCTGGCCCTGGACCGGTGTGTACAGCGGGGACGCTGTATTCCCAGTGGGGGAGGATGTAATGTCCCACATCGGTTGGAGAGGGGAACGAAGCATGCCTTATAAGGGTGTGGATACCTCTTCTAGTGCGAGGCCATTTGTGGGGTGTCCCAAGAAACAAAACCGTGAGCTCGACGGTGCTTGTGCGCGGGGCAAAGCGGACAATATCATGCTACAGGGTTTGGGGCTGTTACATATGGTATCAGAGCCTGGCCCTGGACCGGTGTGTACAGCGGGGACGCTGTATTCCCAGTGGGGGAGGATGTAATGTCCCACATCGGTTGGAGAGGGGAACGAAGCATGCCTTATAAGGGTGTGGATACCTCTTCTAGTGTGAGGCCTTTTGTGGGGTGTCCCAAGAAACAAAACCGTGAGCTCGACGGTGCTTGTGCGCGGGGCAAAGCGGACAATATCATGCTACAGGGTTTGGGGCTGTTACAATGTGGCACCTACATCCCACATTCACTTCACCAATTCATCATGCAAATCAAAATGATAAACATAACTTCATATTCATCAATATATTAAGAGTAAATACCTTTTTTGGTCCCTAACAATATCCACGAAGCCCTTTTTGGTCCCTAGCAATAAAAAAAGGACATTGTGGTCCCTAAATTTTACAAATTAGGCCCACGTTAGTCCTTCTGTTAGTGGGGCTCTAACGCCATTACTAACGTCTCTGACGTGTACCGTTAAATTGCTGAGTAACCATGGAGGAATCCATCTGGTTAAAAAACGACGTCGTTTGGTACCTTACTTTTTTTTTCTTCTTCTTCTCTCCAATATAGGTCCCCACCAACACCACCCATTTTCATTACAATTCACCACCACCATGGTAAATGAAGGCTGGTCAACAAGACTTAAAAATGATAAATGAACACCCATTTAGTCAAGGTTGGCAATGACAGCATCAACAATCTCCTGGGTAGTGCTGTTTCCGCCAAGATCTTTTGTCCTGTACTTGCACTCTAAAATGACACTATTCATAGCAGTCTCAAGTCTATCAGCAAAAGAAGAGAACCGAAGATGCCTCAACAACATGGCCGAGGAGGGAAGCAAAGCAACTGGATTATCCTCACCATGATGGTAAAAGCACAAGGAAGAGGGTGCTAGAAGATAGAGATGAATAATACAATGGAATATTTTAATATACAGAGCATTAGAATGTAAATGAAAAAATATGGTAATGGTACCGTAAATTTGGTAGTTAGCTGCTAGCTAATGCGTAAACTTGACCTCACCTTTAACAGTGAATGTGATTCTTGGACTCCTCGATCCTAAGAGCAACTCCACAGCCTACATGCTGACAGACAACATTATGCCTGCTACAATAAGCTTCATGCAGTGCAATAGTTCTAGTGGGTATGTAATGCTTGCAGTTCCTACACTATTGAGTATCCATTTCTGCAGATGATATGGAAGATGATTGTAACATCCCGTTCTAGAACCGATTTGTTAACATCGCATTATGATATTAAGCGCAGTTACAATCACATTGGCTCAATTAAAAATCCGGATAAATTTTTCTTTTTAAAACGACGCCGAATTTAAAATATCCAATTGCGTGATCATAACCATATTACCTTGCGGAATCAGATAAACCAAGCTTAACATCATGTTCTTATTCCAATTTTAAACCATTAATTTACTTCTTGTTTATTTCCCAACTTCTACTATATTTTAGATCTCTTCGTTAGCTACGCGTGGGTTCAAACCGTGCTCAAATCGGAGCACTGTAGCCCAAGTTATGGGTTTTCTACGAAACGAGCGCGTGAATCCTGCCGATCCCGGCGCGACCGGCGCCAGCTGTGGCGCGGCGGGCGCCAACGAAACAGAAGCTCCCCGTCGAAATGGCGCTGGAGGCGCCAAGGTTGGCGCCAGGTGCGCCAGCTGGTGATCCCGGCGCGATTTGCGCCAACTCCGGCGCGATTTGCGCCACGAAACAGAAGCTTTCGAGCAAAATGGCGTGATGTGCGCCAAAGCTCAGAAGGTTTCACCAATTCTTAGTATTTCACCTCTAACTAGAGTTATACATGTCCAATTCACACAATATTGGTCTCTATGGAAAGCTAAGAAAAATATCTACAACTTCCATACATACACCACCGTTCCAACCTATCATATAATTTCTTCTTCATAAATGGTTCTTAGTTCTTGCATAATACAAACACATCTAAAGGGACATGCATGCCCTTTTCCTCATGGCTTGTACTAAAATTTGGGCAGCATAACCCTTGTTTTCTCAACAATTCCCAATTTAGAACTAGGTACCTAATATGATTTCTCAGCCCAACCAATTCAATAACTCAATACATAAAAGCATGCATATATTGAATTTCAAGTAGGCATCATTTACATTACATATCCATTACAAATCATGGAACTTAGCTTACAAAACACTATGATCATTCCCTTGGCTCCCATCAACAAAAGAGATGACCAAAGGCATGAGCATAGGCTAAGTCCATTCCAATATACAAATCATAAATCTAGCATTGCCTATTCATTTAATTCTATACATGTGAGCTACAAAACAACATGTACAATCTCAAAAGAAATGCCACATTTCATGCATAATCCAGATATGGCCACTTGCCACCAGAGGCTCCTGCACCATCCTTACCTGAAAGGGGGTCCCCACAACACGGGGTGAGATATACGAATATATCCAGTAAACCAGGGGTCCTTGGAGCATCTCTCCACCCCACAGTTCCATATCAGTGTAATAACAATAACAATAATAATGCAGTAAATACATATCTATGCAAAGTGCACTACATCTCCAGGAGAAATCCCTCGAGCTCTCAAGCTGTCCTAAGGAAACTCATATGCAAATAGTCCTACTGGCCAGCTAACTACCATGTATGATTTACGCATCGTCATGCAACATACCCACATAGGGAAACACCATCCTATGCCACACCAAATGCATACACATACGTATAACAAAGCATTACACTATTTTATTGCATTTATATACACAATCACAACCTCCACCCTTTCAGGGCTTGGTAGAACAGTCAAGGGAATTACACCCAAGGTCCGAAGGTTTACCTCAATTCTTCAGTCGACCTTTGTTCTTCACCAATGTCAACAATACTCGACTCCAAAACCAACACCTACACATGGTGTAATGCAATCAACACATTGCATCCAAGAGTATTTCACAATCAACCATCAAATACTCAATTCAAAACACCACACAAGTGTGAGCTTACCAATTCCAATGAGCTATTCAAGCTCCGTAGCTTGCTCCAATGGTTGATCACTCACGGTTGGTCCAAATGTCTCAATCCTAGACATCACAAGGATCCAATCAATCATTCCACTCACTAATTGTTCAACATGCTAGAATACTAACCAATCCAAGCATGAATTTTCCAATATTATGAACAATTATCAAATGACTATCTAGGCTCATTTCCACCGATTAAATGTCGTTCCTAGCATTTTTCACAACATGCTCTAAACTCCATTCTTCCTAGAACATAGCTAATTCAACTACATTTCATAAAAATCCCAATTTACTATTCACAAACCCTAACTCATGCAAATTTCAAGGAATCATGAGGCTCAAGGGTTAGAATCTTACCACCAATGGTCACACAACCAAGCAAGGAGTGTTCCTCAAGCTCCCATGGAGGTTGAACTTCCCAAAACCCTAAAATCACTCAAATGGTCGAATTTTTGAGGGTCAAAATCTCTCTCCACAAAGCTCCCCACTAAGAACTAAGCAAGGATTATGAAAGAGGAGGAGATTTGGAGTGGTTTAGGCTTTGGAATCACTCAAAATGGTTGAGATTTGCTCTCTCCCTCTCTATCTCTCTCTCTCTTTCTTCCTCCCTTTCCCTCCTTCTCCTTCTTCTTCCTCTCTTCTTTTCTCTGATTCTGGCGACGGGGAAAATGGGGTGGGAAATGGGTTTCTTTTGTGTTTTTAAGTCACTTACTTGGTTAAGTGACTTATGTGGGTATTGGTTCGTCTATCTATTCAACTTCAATAATTACCAAACTTTACCCAAAAGTCTGGAATATTATTCTAGGAATATTACTATTTTTATTTTTATATTTTGGGCACTTTCACCAGTACCCATTTATACCCCTTAATTTTCACTGAGTACACTTTTTAACTCCAAAGTGACTCAGATTCATTTAATTAAGCATTTACTTAATCTTACCCAGTAAAACATGCTTAATTAATTAATTACACTTGATTTACTAATTAATTAAGATGGGCTATTATAATGATGCTTGTTGACCCACTTTTTGGTTGAAATTATCCTGGATCATGACTGATATTTTGTACTTAGTCATTCCCTTAAAGCCATATATACCAATGTTGTACGTCCTTGCACCTAAACTTTTATCTTTAGAGCTAAGAATCAAAGTCTTTGAGCCAATGTCATGGGAAGACCACTCATGCTGGTGCCGTGTAGGAAATATGACAGGATGTCTAGAAATGAAAAGATCAGTGTCTCCCTCATCTGTCTTTGATTCTAATTTTACCTTAACACTAGAATTCCCAGTAGAGATTTTCTCCCAAGTGCCATTGTCTATTGAAAATTTATAATACACAAACTTTCCTTCAATCTACTCTTCCCGTTTGTAAATACAACTGGAATTAAAACATGCTGATCAGTCTTTTCTGAGGATGTATCAGGATCAACTATGTCAACTTCAATATTTGTTTCTAAAACAGATTCACTTGAAACATGGTTATATATTCCATTGTTTTCCCTGCATTCATTTTGTTCATAATCCATGAGGTTTACTTGCTTCTTTTATTTTATTTTTTGTGGAAGTTATTCTTTTTATTACTATTTCTTTGCTCTATTTTCCTTCTATGTGCCTTCCTGCTTGGATTATTACCATCGTACTTGAATATGTTGCAAAAACTGCAAAAAAATAGACAAGAGAATGCTCACTGCAAATAGCATGTCATCGAAATATTTCTTCATTGGAAGCATAATTAAAATGACCGAGACCTCTTCTTGAAAGATTAAATCTTTAATTTTTTATTAAGACATTTTTATGCGCAAATTTTCTCTTTTATCAGGATGAGAGGCAACATTTCTTTTGTCGATTCCAATGTTTTGAAAATGAAAAATTTTACGGTTGCTCACCTCTATGTTGAGGCTGTTGTTCCATTTGTGATTCTAGCGCCTTTAGAAAATAAATTTTTCCATACACGTGGAGGAAGACCCACTGAACCTTCATCAGCACTGAATTCTAAAACTCCTGAATGAGTGGTCCCCTGTTTCTCTTTATCAGCAACTTTGACGCCTGAAGAGCCTTCTTGATGAACTAACAACAACTGAAAGTACATGGGTCCCTTATCCAAGGCTTCCACACAACATTGTAAGGTTCTTGGGTTGCTGTTGGAACAGAAACACAAGATTGCTTATGTATGATTATATGCCAAATGGGAGTCTCGGAAGTCTACTTCATGAACGAAGTGGCAACTGCTTGGAATGGGACATCAGATTTCGAATAATACTAGGAGCAGCTCAAGGTTTGGCTTATTTACACCATGATTGTGCTCATCCCATTGTTCATAGGGACATTAAGGCCAACAACATCCTCATAGGCCCTGAATTTGAACCATACATAGCTGATTTTGGGCTTGCAAAACTTGTTGATGATGGAGATTTCGCACGATCTTCTAGTACACTAGCTGGTTCCTATGGTTACATAGCTCCAGGTTAGTACTATTAGTCCAAAACTTCAAATTTTATTATTTTGTTTTACTTTCATCACTCATAATATCATTAGGGATAGCCTGTCCCCGTAATCAACAAGAACAAAAACAAATGTATGTGTATTTGAATAAATGTTTCACATGCTTTTTGTATTTTATATAACTTTTTTTTCTTAATGTGCATTCTCTCAGAGTTACATACTAACATATATTCATTAATACTTTATCTCCATGTTGGGATTGTAGAGTATGGTTATATGATGAAGATAACAGAGAAAAGTGATGTTTACAGCTATGGTATTGTTGTATTAGAAGTACTAACAGGGAAGCAACCAATTGATCCAACAATACCAGATGGACTCCATATTGTTGATTGGGTAAGACAGAAAAGAGGTGGAGTTGAAGTGCTTGATGAAAGCTTAAGAGCTAGGCCAGAATCTGAAATTGAGGAAATGTTGCAGACCTTAGGTGTGGCTTTGCTTTGTGTAAACTCAAGCCCAGATGACAGGCCAACCATGAAAGATGTTGTAGCAATGATGAAAGAAATTAAGCAGGAAAGAGAGGAATATATGAAAGTTGACATTCCTCTTGATGGATCTTCTGTAAATCATCAACAAGAAAGTAATCATTTTGGTGAAGAAAATGGCAAAGATGAAACATGCATGCCCAATAAGCAGCAGCAGCACTAATCTGAATCTGCATTACTCTCCCCATCTTCCTCCCATACTAAAGTAACTTTGAAATAGTCAATAACAGCAATGTGGTTAGGCTACTAAGATTTCCTTATCAAGAATGGTTTCTATCCTATTGTCAATGCTTCAGCTTCACAGTTATGGTTTCTTTGTGTGTAAGGATAAAGTTTTAATAATTGTGAGCATTTAAGTTACCTTTGTTCATCATATTACCATTTTATTTTTCTGTATCTAAAAGGACATATCAACCATTATAATCTACTGTTAGCTCAAGAAAAAACTTGGCATTATAAGGGTTTTAAAGTATTTAAATCAAACTTAATTAATAGTCAACAAAATTCTAAAATGAAAGCTCAAAGAGAAGATGAAGGTTGGAGATTTTCTCCGGAACACCTTTATAAATCCTTTAGTTTGACGTAGGGGTGTTAACGGGTCGAATAGCGTCAGACTTTGGTCTTAAAAGGTTAAGTTTGTATTTGAATATGTCAATCTGGTTTAATCTATTATTTGTTATGAATATAATTATTAGCTTGCTATAATACCCCAAACTTAAGCATTTAATTGATTAATTTTAATTAAATAATCAAGCATGTTTTAGTGAGTAAAATTAAGTATAGGGCTTAATTAAATGAATTTGAGTCACTTTGGAGTTAAAAAGTGTACTCAGTGGAAATTAAGGGGTATAAATGGGTACTGGCGAAAATGCCCAAAATATAAAAATAAAAATATAAATATTCCTAGAATAATATTCCAGACTTTTGGGTAAAGTTTGGTAATTAATGGAGTTGAATAGATAGATGAACTAATACCCACATGTTACCACTTAACTTATGTTAAGTGATAAAACAAGAAAGAAACCCAACCCCCCCCCCAAGAAACCGTCGACAGAAAGAAAAGAAGGGGAAAGGAGAAGAAGGAGAAAGGAGGGAGAAGGAAGGGAGGAAGAGAGAGAGCTATTCTCAACCGATTGGAGCGATTCAAAAGCCTAAATCACTTAGAATCTCGCCCTCATCATTAATCCTAGCTTAGTTCTTAGTGGGGAGCTTTGTGTGGTGAGATATTGCCCCTCAAAAATTCGGCCCTTTGGAGAAATTGAGGTGTTTGAGAGCTTCAACCTTCATTGAAGCTTGAGGTGCCATCAATCCTTGGTTGTGTGACCATTGGTGGTAAGATTCTAACCCTTGAACCTTGTTTTCTTGGAAAATTTCATGGTTAGGGTTTAATGAATAGTGTTTTAGGGTTTTTATGAAATGTTGAGTAGATTGGCTATGTTCAAGGAAGAATGAGGCTTAGAGTATGTTGTGAAAAATGCTAGGAATGACATTTAATCGGTAGAAATGAGTTTATAGTGTTATTTTAGTATGCTTTGTTGTTTTGAGAAATCTAGGCTTGGAACTATGGATTTCCTTGCATTGTTAGCATTGTTTGATTGTATTCCTTGTGTTGATAGGATTGAGGCAAGAGGACCAAGTGGAGTGACCAACCCTTGGGGTTGTGTGCAATTGAGGAAAGCTCAAGAGCAAGGTAAACCTTTGGACCTTGTGGTTGATCCCATTGAGTGTTCCACCATACTCCGTTGAGGAGAAATGGTTTATGAGATACAATAAAAACCTAGTTTAGCATGTAAAAAAAAATACAATAACAAAAATTTATCCAAACAAAATATATGATCAACAATACTAATAATTCCATAAATATTCATAAATTCAATATATATCCAAAAAAACATAATATAGAACAAAATCATTCAAAAAGTTTGTTTAACCAATAAAATAGGGTGAAATGGGTTGAGGAGAGAGAGAATGAGAGAGCTATTATGAGTAGTATAAAAAATATAAAATAAAAATAAAAGTTACTATACTAGGCCAAGCTGAAAGGCTCTAAGGCTGAGCTTTTGAATTGGAGTCTAAGGCCTTTTATTAAAAGAGTTTTTATACAAGACCAAGCATGGTTTCAACAACCAATTTTAAATATGTAAACCCAGACCTTCACGAGTCGGGCCAAAGGCCCCTGATTCGTTTACCACCCTTTGATCCATATTAGCCATTTTCTTTAAGTCATTCACTTTTTTTGTTTTTAAAATCTGTCATTTATCTCTCTGGAAAGTGTTTATTCTTAGACATATGCATTACTGATATATACCTCAATAATGTTTTGGAACTACTTTATCGGGAAAAATATTCATATAACTGCATTTTAAAAAATAATTATAGGATTAATGTTATTTTTAAATATTTTACTTAACTAATGCAAACAGTTGTGAGCATAACTAGTGTACAATTTCCACGTTTCAAGATAATGTGAGTTACACACGTACCACTGCGCAATTAGTTGCACACAAGGTACGTGTGAACCAAATAGGACTTTGCCATGTGACACCATTGTGGCCATCCATATAGTTCTCTACTATAATGGTCATAATCTTCCAGTTCACTCTCCCTATCTTCCAATTTTCTAAAAGATCATAATCATTTTTTGTGTTGCCATCAAAATGAATTCAAATTCGCAATCGGTACGTGAACATTGCCGAAGCTAATGATTTGTCACTACCAATTCAATCATTGTGTAACACCTCGTTCTAGAACCGACGTTCTAGAACCAGTTTGTTAACATTATGTTTGGCATTAAACACAGTTACAATCACAACAATTGAATTATGATACAAATAACTTTTTCTTTTTGTTAAGAAATATTTCCGTTTAGAAATAATTCCGTAATTAAAACAATTCCAAAAACTGAAATCATAACTTAAACTATGAGAGGACCACTTGATGTGATTTTATTTAGACCATACGTTGATACCCAAGAATGCCAAGTAGTCATTTTAGATCAACAAGGCTTAAAAACTCATTTTTAATGATATTCCACACTAAACATCTTCACCTTTTATTACTCAAGGAATTTTATTCTTCTTATATGGTCCTTATCTCCCACTATATTATAGATCTCTCCATTAGCTTCTCATGGGTTCAAACTGCGGTCAATTCGAAGCTCTACAGATCAAGTTATGCCAATTTTACTAAACTATGTTCATGCTATTTCCGGGATGCGCCCTCGAGCGCTCAACTGGGCGCTTGAGCGCCCAGAGGTAGCGAATTTGGCCATTTCCAGGTTTTTCAGCGCGCTTGAGCACCCAAAGGCAGAGAATTTCACTTTATTTCACGTACATAACGCGCTGGAGCGCGCAAATCAGTGCTCGAGCGCCCTCCACTTGGGGCAGGCTTGGTCTCCCCTGTTTTTGGTTATTCTCTTGTGGAAGTTTCATTTTCCCTTTATTCTTGTGGGTCATAACACCTAATTTATAAGGAAAGACCGACCATGCTCACACACTATGTGGCACCTACATCCCACATTCACTTCACCAATTCATCATGCAAATCAACATGATAAACATAACTTCATATTCATTAATATATTAAGAGTAAATACCCTTTTTGGTCCCTAACAATATCCACGAAGCCCTTTTTGGTCCCTAGCAATAAAAAAGGACATCGTGGTCCCTAAATTTTACAAATTAGGCCCACGTTAGTCCTTTTGTTAGTGGGGCTCTAACGCCGTTACTAACGTCTCTGACGTGTACCGTTAAATTGCTGAGTCACCATGGAGGAATCCATCTGGTTATAAAACGACGTCGTTTGGTACCTTACTTTTTTTTTCTTCTTCTTCTCTCCAATATAGGTCCCCACCAACACCACCCATTTTCATTACAGTTCACCACCACCATGGTAAATGAAGGCTGGTCAACAAGACTTAAAAATGATAAATGAACACCCATTTAGTCGAGGTTGGCAATGACAGCATCAACAATCTCTTGGGTAGTGCTGTTTCCGCCAAGATCTTTTGTCCTGTTCTTGCACTCTAAAATGACACTATTCATAGCAGTCTCAAGTCTGTCAGCAAAAGAAGAGAACCAAAGATGCCTCAACAACATGGCCGAGGAGAGAAGCAAAGCAACTGGGTGCTAGAAGATAGAGATGAATAATACAATGGAATATTTTATAAAACAGAGCATTAGAATGTAAATGAAAAAAAGATGGTACTGGTACTGTAAATTTGGTAGTTAGCTGCTAGCTAATGCTTAAGCTTGACCTCACCTTTAACAGTGAATGTGATTCTTGAACTCCTCAATCCTAAGAAAAACTCCACAACCTACATGCTGACAGACAACATTATGCCTGCTACAATAAGCTTCATGTAGTGCAATAGTCCTAGTGGGTATGTAATGCTTGCAGTTCCTACACTGTTGAGTATCCATTTCTGCAGATGATATGGAAGATGATGCTTGTTGACCCACTTTTTGGTTGAAATTATCCTGGATCATGACTGATATTTTGTACTTAGTCATTCCCTTAAAGCCATATATACCAATGTTGTACGTCCCTGCACCTAAATTTTTATATTTAGAGGTAAGAATCAAAGTCTTTGAGCCAATATCATGGGAAGACCACTCATGCTGGTGCCGTGTAGGAAATATGACAGGATGTCTAGAAATGAAAAGATCAGTGTCTCCCTCATATGTCTTTGATTCTAATTTTACCTTAACACTAGAATTCCCAGTAGAGATTTTCTCCAGGTGCCATTGTCTATTGAAAATTTATAATACACAAACTTTCCTTCATCTACTATTCTCGTTTGTAAATACAACTGGAATTAAAATATGCTGATCAGTCTTTTCTGAGGATGTATCAGGATCAACTATGTCAACTTCAATATTTGTTTCTAAAACAGATTCACTTGAAACATGGTTATATATTCCATTGTTTTCACTGCATTCATTTTGTTCATAATCCATGAGGTTTACTTGCTTCTTTTATTTTGTTTTTTGTGGAAGTTATTCTTTTTATTACTACTTCTTTGCTCTATTTTCCTTCTATGTGCCTTCCTGCTTGGATTATTACCATCGTACTTGAATATGTTGGCAAAAACTACAAAAAAATAGACAAGAGAATGCTCACTGCAAATAGAATGTCATAGGAATATTTCTTCATTGGAAGCAT